TTATCCTCTGTACTTAGGGACATAATTTGCCAGATCTGGATTTAGCTGTCATTACAACTTTTGCTTTTAAATGCAAAACAAAGCGATGTTATTTTCCCGTCCAATTTTGTTCATGTTATATAGAATGCAGTAAAACTCGTCATGCCAGAGGATTTGCAAAGGGATGATGTGAAGGTTAATTACTGGCTGCTCATAAAGCATCCTGCCTGTCGAAAGCCCCATGTGTAAAAATGACCTTGTTATCAAAGCTGTTGAGTGCTCTCAATGGTCACTTTCAATGGACAAAATGGATATTTTTCTGTGGCTCTTGAAAACCAAATTAGTTGCATTCAAATATCTACCTCCAGTTAGAGGAGGTTTTGGCATTGTGTCTGTATCCCATTTCTGTAGGGGGTGGGGGTAAACTACCACGAATTTTGCTTAAATCTCATCTTTCCAGCTCCAAATGAAAACTACTAAAATGTAGGTATCACAGAACCAACATCTGAAAGATACCTGCTAAACCTATCCACAGAGTCAGGCAACAAGTGAATGCAGATATTACCCTTGTGCCCTAATTACACCCTGGAAACCAAAAGCACTACCTGAAACAATAAAGCATAGATATTTCTGTGACCACCTGTATTTGTAGGATGAGTTAGCACTGGGAAAAAAATGATAAGGCACAAGACCAAGCATGAAGAGCACTGCTCAACAAAATGGAGCCTGCAATGCTACGCACAATGCTTTAGTATCTTCTTGCTATTTATACACATAAAGTAATTAGGAATGAGAACACCTTAACGTTAATTAAAGCACAGTCCCATAGGACTTCAGAAATCTTTTCAGAGATGGTTTCTCTGGTGACAGCTTTGCTAGCGAGGAGAGTTTGACGTGTCCTGTAAAAATACAACTTCATGCCTGGTATTGCCACATTGCAGAGAACAACATCTGAAGCGTGATCGTGCCTCTCTCTACCCGTATCCTCCTCCTCGACTTGGAAATAATCAGCTATGGATACTGCCAGGAAAATGCCTCATCTCCACTAATATTCAACTCCCCCTCTACAATGATGGTATCTTAACAAAATGAAGAACTGCAAAAACTCCTCGTGCTTGTGTCTTTCAGCAGCTTTCTCCAACAGTGCTGGTCCGAATCTTCCTTCTCCCTTTAAGCAGTAGTTCTATCAAAGAAAGAAAATATTCTCTTTGAAACATCCTGGAGAGCCCAGTGGAAACGGCAAGCAGAGATGTCATTGTGGCACAAAAAAGAGCTCTGTGAGAACAGGCAGCTGGCCTACCTGAAGGTTAAAGTAGCTCCCACTGAAAACCTGCTCTGAATACTTCAGAGCAGAGCATGATGCAGGAGAGGCATTTACACACACTATGTCTGTGCACCAAGGTGTGAAAAAACCCAACCTCCGAGCACAGCACAGGCTGGAAGAAATCCACTGAAATACACCATTAACAGAAATCTACACAAAAGCCAATCCACTCTCTCGTATCGGTGTCCTATAGGAAGGCCAGAATGAAGCCATTGAGAAAAATGAGACATTTACATATAAATCAAAAAAAGACAGAATCCAAGTACCGAGTGATTAAAGATCAGTGTAAAACATGCTTTGTCAATCGCTTATTAGATAAAATCTGTGTAATCGCTCTATATACTCCACAAATGTTCAAATAATAAATTTTAAGTTGGATATGAAAAAATATAAATCATATTTTTTAAGACTGCATCCGTCTATAGTACATCTTCTGTAACGCTGATATCACCACCTCGCATATTTTTCTCTTGCATCATTTTCCAGCAGGAAGAAAAACCCTGAAGGAATCTCCATATTTTCCAATCACGTTGCCTGTATCCGGGCAGGTTATGTGACCGCCAAACCGGAGCCCCCAGAGCAGGCCTGAACCACAGCAAAGTCCGCGCACAACCCGAGCCTTCGCTCCCGAATTAAAAGCATCCTCCACCTCCCTCACCTCCAACTTGGCCAAGGTGCCAGCAGGTATCTGCCGACTTCGGTTTCGGATACAAAGGGCTCGGTATGGTGAATGTATGTCGTGGTCATGTTAGGAGGAAAGGAATTTTGTTTTTTAATAAAGGAAAAATAATTCAACAACAATAACAACAGTAATAGTAGCCTTGCTCGGAAAATAATAACAAAATAAACCAACACCGAAACTGCAAAAATTACGAACAAGGATTACGAACAAGGCGGGGGGTGGGGGGGGAATCCTTTCAGGATTTTCGCCGGCATTCCGGAACGCAGCCGAGCCGATCCCCCCCTCGCCCGCGGGGGTTCCAGCCCGGTCCGGCCGCTGGTGCATCCCCGGCCCCGCTGCACCCGGCGGGCTCTTACCGTGGCCGAGGCGACGCTGTTGTCCGCCAGAGTCAAGTGGTGCGGCTCCCACCGCCGCAGGAACTTGGAGGTGAGGATCTTGCTGAGAAACGTCCGGGGGTGCCGGATGACACACACCTGGATGTCCCCCTCCTGCAGCAGCTTGTACCTCATGCCGTTGCAGTGGAGCAGGGCTCTCCGGCACGGCGCGGCACCCATTTTATTCCCCTCGGGAGCGGACATCTCGCCCAGCAGCGGCTTGCTCTCCTCGGGCTGCCTGCGGTCGCTGCCCCCGCCGGAGCCGCCGGTGCGATCCATGGCAGCCCCGCGGGCCGGCTCGGGGGTGGCGCTCCGGGGCACCGGTCTCTACGGCGGGTAGAGACGGGTACAACCAAAGAAAATTAAATTCAAAATAAAAACTGTAACAAAAAAAAAAAAATCCAACCCCACGCGGCAGATTAAAAAAAAATTGCACGCTGTAGAAAAAAAAATAAAAACAAAACAACAAAAGCTGTCGGGGAAGATGGGGGTAGGGACTGAGCCGCACCGAGGGGAGAAGGGGAAAAGGGAAGCGATAAAATCCTTATTCAAACTTCCCAATCCGCCCCCGGCGGGTCACAGCGCCGCGTCCATGCTGCCGGGCGGGCGCCGGCCGAGCGGAGGGTCGGCTCCCGCGGGGGCGGCGGACAAAAGCCGGCGGTGGTGGCGGCGGTGGCGGCGCGGGGAGCTCCTGACGGCGGTGGCGGCGGGGGCTGCGGGGCGTCCGGCAGCGGCTCCTTCCTTCCCCCCGGGGCGTGTGCGCGGGAGCGTGCGGCGGCGCGCGTGCATGTATGTATGTGTGTCTGTATGTATGTATGTATGTATGTGGGTGCGGGTGTGTGTGTGAGCGCGCCTCTGTGTGTGCGTGTCTGTGTGCGCGGGTCCCCACGCGCGCCGCCGCCGCCGCGGCAGGAGGAGGAGGAGGAGGCGGGAGCGGCGGGCGCTGCCGACACAGCCCCTCTGCCGGAGCGGCTCCGCGCGCCGCGATTGGCCCCGCCGCCGTCACGTGCCGCCCTGCCTGACGTCAATGGCCGCGGAGCCGCTCCGGGCAGCGGCGGCCGCGGGAGGTGCGCGGGAAGCACCGCGCCCCTCACGGAGCCGCGGGATCGTTCGGGCTGGAAAAGACCTCTGAGATCATCGGCTCCGACCTGTGACCGAGTGCCGTGTCCTGGCTTTTCCTTAAACACCTCCAGGGACGGTGATTCCAGCACCTCCTTGGGCAGCCCGTTCCGATGCCTGATCACCCTTTTTGTGAAGAAATCCCTCCTGACGCCCAACCTGAAGCTCGCCTAGCGCGGCTCATCAGGGCTGGAGGTGCCGCCAGGCCCCTCCACCGTGCGGGGAGACCCAGCGCGGTCCGTGTCCCTCCCGCCGGCAGCAGCCCGGCCAGGGCGCAGGGCTTGTGACCACCGCTCCTTGACGGTGACGAATCGTCGCAGGTTGAGTTTTGAGCATCCTCACCCCAGCGTTAAGCTCTTGTACAACCCCGCAGAGAATGGCCGAGGAAGCCCGTGCCAAGCTGCTGGCACTTCAGCAGTGATATTCCCTTTCCTCTGGCTTCATGGGGAAACCGGGAATGGCTGCGCTCCCTAATGCACCGACCCTTGAGAGCAGCACCTAATCACACTGTGCTGAGCAGGGTGTGGAGTGTCTTCTGATCTCCGGCAAGGCAGCACAATCCTTTATGTTAAAAAAAAAAAAAAAGGCATTGAAGAAACCAACTCCCTTCTAAGCCTTCTAAACCGCTTAACAGCTGAGGGATGCTGTGTGCAATAAGGATGCCATGCCCAGAGAAATGATACCATCAATACTTGCTTTTTTTCTCAGTGGTAGAACTCAGATCTTGTTTCCAATATCCTCATTTACACAACCAGGTTAGGACCAATTAAAGAAAATACATTTTATGTAATGCATGCACATGCCATTGAACTGCAGGACCCCTCACAATGAGTATTACCAAGGTCTAGAATTTAGAAGGAATTTACAGGGCTGCTTTAGATTGTGCTTGCAACATATTCAGAGAAAGTATAAATCTTTATACTTGAAATACTTACAAGTGTAAGCTCACCTCTGACTGACAGAGATTGAGAAAGGGTCTGCTCTGTGGTGAGACAATTTTTCCAGAGTGTGTGCCCTGACTTGGTTTCTGGTGGCATCTCCCCGTGCAATAGTTCCCAGGTCACCATGCCAAGAGAGGTGCCAGCAGTTGTGGGCAGTATCACCAGCCCACCCCAGAGAAAGCTCTTTCATCTGACCTATTCGCATCACGAGTCACACACAGATCATCTGTTGGAGAGGCGAGCTGCTACTGGAAGCGCTTGGCTTACACTTTGCCATAAAACCTTTTGTAGTGGCTGCTGTCAAAGACAATACATGACCGGCTGGACCACAATTACAGCGAGCATGTCCATCACGTGTTGTTACAGCACTGTTCTGTTGAAATAGGCTTGCATTTGACAGGAGAATTGCTGTCTAAACACTTTCAGAAAGGAAGGGGTTTAAACCTATCAATTACTAGCAATTGAGAGATACTTTTGTTGCATGTCAGCATCAAAATTATTTATAAAAAGCAAGGAAGTCTCCAGAGTACTCCCAAGTACCAGTTGATAAAACTACACGAAATTATGCAACTTGGCAAAGGTTAGAAGAAAGCAACTCATTTAATGACATAAATAATACAACCAACAGGAAGACAAAAATCTCTTTTATAGAGGTTCAAATTGTCAGTATCTCATAGTCCTGGTAACCACTTACCTCCTGAACTTAAGCAAAGTGACTGGTCATTGTGCAGTAAACATTACAAGCAGTTCCCACAGAGCTTTGTACACCTTATACTGCAAGGGGTGAATGACACAGGCATTTACCCTGAAACAAACCCAGATCTACTCATACCTATAAATATGAATGGAACTGCAATAAAAATCATAATAAAAATTACTTGCAAACCAAAGTAGGAAAGGACAGCTTTGTTTAGATGCAAGTTTTCACTGCAGGAACTGTTTGCTTCCAGGAGTTCATAGGCTGCCTGGTACAAGGGAGGCCTGTTCTTGTTTGACCCCAGGCACTGTTCTGGTACAAATGCTAATTGTGTCGATAGTAGGACTGTCCGCATACACTCACCTGCACCAACACTTCACTGGGAAATAAAACCAGTGGGACTATTCCAGTGAATGTCTGTGCAAATGAGCCACCTGCTCAAACCACTGCTTTAAATCTACCATAGTTGTCCTCTCTGAGAGCTGCTTGACAAAGGGAGGACGTTATGTAAGAGTCTGGTGTCCTTACGTGAATTTCCTGGAACATTAGAGCAGTTGTTTTCCATTTGTGTTCCATAGAAGGCAGTGAAAAATAAAGGCTGGTCTATAGTGATCAACCTATGAGTTACCTGAAAGGATCCAAGTCTGGAAATCCACCATTCCAAAGTGTTGAAACCCACTGAGACACTGCAAAAGCCACTCCTAGCAACACCTGTCAAGGACAAAGATCCAAATGCTGTGCATTTGCAGCTCCCCCTGAATCCCCACTCTCAGGCTGCAGGTGTTCTTCTCTCTGAAGTAAACTCAGCACAGCATGATAAGATCAAGGCATGAAATCTCACATTGCCTGCCAGAACAGGGCAACCCAAAACCCTGTCTAGACAGGTGAAATTGAAACAGGCTGCTGGCTGCCCAGCTGACCAAAATGCACATTAGCCATCCAACCCACAATAAATAGCCGGTGTGTGACCCAGGGCTGAACACATTAAAATTAACACCCTTCCTCATATCTCCTATCAATTATAGCAAACAGAAGTTGGATCAGTTGCAATCCTGGCTTTTTTGTTCTTCCAGACTTTCTCTTCTGGCTCCATGCAGCACAACAGACATCTCAGGTATACTTGCTTGGCAGTATTTCAAGGTGGTGTTTGGGGAATTGTGTGTTTTCTTTTTTCCCTGCAAATGAACAAATCCAACCAGAAATTTATTGTGAATATGAGACAATCATTCATTTAAATAATAAAAACTGAGTAAATAAAAAGCACGTCAGTGAAAATATACCTCTAGCTATTCACAAGATGCTTCTGGGCATGATATCAGTTTTGAATAATTCAAGAACTTGTGAGAAATACTACATTTCTGTGCTACAAGACAAACACAACCTCTGAAAGTGAAAATTTAATAGTTTATTCACTATTGTTAATCCTACTTTAAAGAGCTACTTTAAGTCAGGGCCTCTAGGTACAGTTCAAATTTGAATAGGGAAGGAGATAGAGAGATTTGTTATACTCTGCACAAATATCAGGGCAATTGGACAAAAACTAAAAAGTGGGGCTGGCAAGAAAGTGAGCAGAGGTAAAGATGTTTTCTCCAGAAGAGAGGACATTGGCAGAAGGGCAATTCAGACCCACCTGCCAGTTCTGTACTCCTGGACTCTGCACACTCCTGGACTCTGCCCTTTCATTTGCACTTCTTTGTATCTTGCCCTCTTTTTATTATTCACTGCCATTTCACAATAGCCTTTGTAAACAGAAGCATTGCTTCCTGAAAGACACTGTAGCCTGGAAACCTGGGATATACCCACCATGGATACACCCACTGGAGCTAAACCTACCAGTTTAAAGTAGATGTGACTTCTGGGTCAGCAACAGACTTATTTCCCCCTTTTCCAAAACCAACTCAGTTGTGATATATATTATTCAGAATATTCATCTGCTCAGTTGCATGTCTGTAAAATCAGGAAAGAGCATTAACACAATCACTAGCAAATACCTGGGATTCTAATCTTAAGTAAAAAGCTGCTACTTTTTATGCATTTCCAGCATTTGGTCTCTTGGAGATCTACACTCAGTTCCATCAGGTGTTCTGCAGAGGTCATTTCTGGTTGCTAACACAGAAGCAGCCTCCTGACATACCTTCTTAAGCTTAGTAACACCCACCTACAACCATGTCTTAGAAACAAAAGAAATGTGATATTCTGAAGGGAAAGAAAGCAGCAATTTGTGTCAAGTGCTCAGCGCCACTAGCACAGGTTTCATAGTGGTGCGGGGCTTGGAACACCCATGAGAAAACACTTGAGATGCCAAAACCTATGCAGGAAAAAAATATTGACTAAAGTCACCTTGTCTGAGTGTAAACCCATACAGTGGATACCTGTCAAGCTATGAGGGAACAGAGCAGCTGTGGCCAGGGCCAGACACAGACAATTAGATGCCTCAACAGGGGATGTGCTGACCACTGTCCTCACAGATTTGTTGTATGCTCTAAAAGAGAAAACAAGAAAAAGGAATAATAATCACTTACTACACTATTAATTACTCCTGGTTCATTTTCCATTGTTACAACGTTAACACATGACTTGGCAAACTTTTCCCAGTCAATCAAAGAGGGAAGAAAAGACCAATCTCTTTTTACTATCTCTCACTGAAATTTTCTGTCACAGGGTGTAAGAGCCTACAACAGTCATGCTTTCTGTAACAAAACAAAACAAAACAAAACAAAAAAGAAAACCCCACACTTCTCTTGTCTGCTTAGCACATCCTTGGGAGTTTTCTGTTCAGAGATGTGAGATCAGGGTTTTTCCAAGCAGAGCAACAAGGACCAGGAATTCCCAAATTGTATTCAATATCTGTTTAGACTCTTACACAGCAGCTGCTCCTCTCATGTTTGGATCCTCGATGCATATTAGAGATAATGGAGCTTTCTTCCCTTATTCACAGAGGTGCTGCCTGGATTATGGAATTCATTAGTCAATGCTTGCAAATTGCCACTGTTGACTCAGAGCAAATTCCTGCTATTGGACTCACTAGTCAGCTCATTTTCATAACAATGCTGTATTGTTAAAAAATACTTTCAAGCCACTCTTTAGAGAAACTGGGGGATACAACACATTCAAGCAAACACCTAAAACATCAAAGAGATGCAGTCTCAGTAGTACTAGAAATCCTGCATTTGAAGTGTGTTTAAATTAATCAGTGTGATGGTGTTAAGAGGATTCAGTAAGTCATAAAACTTTGGGCAACTGAATTGCTTCCCAAAAGGGGTGACTGAAATTTAAACCTAAATAGATAAAGATTAAAGGAAGCCATCCTGCAAGAAGTAGATGCCCCTGAGGAAAGGGAGGCCTTGATTAGGGAACCATTGATCAGGGGTGTATAAAATAAAGATTGGATTTGCAAGGAGCTCTTTCTTTTTCCCAAATTTCTCCTTACCCACTCCTGAGACTAACAGTAATTCTGAGAGACACCTCACAGAGGAGTAGTAAGTGGGAAATCAGACTCTGCTTTGAGCTTGCAATTCTCTGACATCTCTGGCATTCAGATTTCTACTCTTCTCCAAATTACTCAGTCTCTGGGTTCTTGCTTTCCCAGTGGATGCACATTACAGCACAGGGCTGACTGCGAGCAGTGCAGACCCTGGGGACAAATATATCTTTGATTCCTCACTGACATAATGCACACTCTTGAGTGCATGATGCAGAAATACTTTTTTTTCTGCCTGTCATCATCAGATGCTCTGATGTAGGGGGATGTAGGATGAAGCTGGTGGTACCAATTGCTAGAAGGAGCCTGCCATCTGCTGATCTGAGCAGCACTCAAGTCTGACTTTTCCCAGATCTGATTTAGTGGGATGAAGCACTATACAAAGTAGGTTAAATGTATCTGAAAAGAAGTAAAATTAACAGAGTTTTTGTGGTGAAGGGATTAATTTAAATGGAAAGAGGAAGTCCCAACTCTTACAATATCAGATCTAAATCTGAATTGAACAAATAGAAATAAAGAGGCAAATAAAACCAATTCGTCATTAGGAAAGAGAGAAGGAGAAGATACAGAGAGGAAAGTGCCTGAAATTTCTTTTCTTGCTTTGCTTCTCCCAACCAGATAACACAGAAAAGGTATCCCTCACCTTCCCCCTTCCAACTTACAACAGTTCTAAACTTCTTCTTTATGGTGTTCTTCCAGGGCTACCCACATGCCCAGGCATGGAAAAGACCCTGGAAAAGGTGAGCTCTCATCAGGCTGCCATCTCCATTTACTTTCATGCTTACTGCCATCAGGATGTATGTAAAAATTATCATTTGGCAGGACACAGTGAAAAGTCACCATTTCCATTATACTGCATTATTGTTCCCACCTCCAGCTCATATCTCCTATTTCATCAATAGATTACATCCTCCTAGTCATTCCAAGCTGCAAGTGCTAATCAGTTTGAAATGCTCTATTAGCTCCTGACACATATAAAACATCACTGTAAGACAACCAAGCATAAAAAGTCAAAGGGAAGTATGGGGTATGATGCAGAGCTCTGAGCTTGTCACAATAAAGTGAAGTTTCCCCAAAACAGAGGAAGAACAGCTAACAAAGAAAAAAGTAGTCCCCAGATTAGGGAAGTGTATCTTCTCACACTGACAACAAATGGGGAAGTGAAATTAGAAGTGGATGAACTGCTGAAAGGCTTGGCTTGTTTTTTTAAAGACCAAGGGGAGGAAAAAAAAGCAGATAGGGAAAAACCATCAAGTATTAGCAGGATTAGTATCACAGGTTCTCCAGTGAAGAGGTGCCATAGAAAGAGAAGATAAAACATCCTTAATTAATGCTTTTATAATGAAATTCCTGGGTTACAGTCCCCTCAAAACAATGTTACACAAAAAGCAGCTGAAACTCTCCTACTTTTCCACAATCCTTTCCTTACCTTTATATGAGCTGGGCTATAAAGTGTAAGCTCCCATCTGATGATAATGCACATCTTCCAGTGCTAGAGACTTTGCTGTGCTAAGAACAACAAAGATTGTAAATTGTGTTAGATTGTAAATACATCTAACATAGACCCTGGCCTAAGAAGTCTAAGCAAACAGATACAAAGGACAGGGAGGTGCATCAATTTAATGTGGTTATCTTTCATGGTTATAGATTCACAGGTACAGCTAAAGGAACATTTTGGTCATTACATACCTTGTCATTTTATCTGCCCATCAGCAGAGCATAGATTATTTCTTGGAACTATAATATCCTTGAAGGCCTTACAATCCAAAAGGCAACAGAAAATAGAAAAAAACCCCAGTCATTTGCTTAGGACAGTCCCCAGGTGAAATGCAACAGAGAAAGAAGATGACAAATCCAGAGAATTCTCTGAAAAAAACAGGTGGTCAGTAACAGACAGATTGTACCATATACATAGAAGAAATGCATCACACATCATAAGCAAAAAAAAAAAAGTAATTTAAAAAAAGAAACCATTTATGCCTGTAACTTTAATAGTGCCCAAGGCTGCAGCTGACCATTAAAATTAGTTTTTGAGCTACTACAACATTACAGACGGGAGGTGTTTTCTATGATATATAAATTTCTTCCAGTATATAAAGTTATTTTTTCAGAACATGAAAAATATAAACTGAAAATAGTACATTTGGATTAAGCTCTTCACTAATGTTATAGAAAGCTTTAAGATAAAAATGCAGAATGAGACATTGCAGGAAAACACCAGCTATCCAGCACCAGCTCTTGAGCCTCTACTAAGACCTTGAGAGCATCAGGGATGGTACAGCTGTTGCTGCAAAACATCTTGTGGATTGGTTAACTCCACCAGCAAATTGCACCAAGGCAGATATCAATTTACATCTGTTTACCACAGCCACACAGGTGATGGGAGCAAAGGGAGCGGATGCAACGTGGGCAGCATGGAGCAGGGTTGGGTTATCATTATCAACAGCAGGAGAATAAAGGCATTCTGTGTGTTCCAGGCCTTGTTTGTGAGTGCAGGCAGCTGGGGTTTGTCCTGCAGTCAAGAGAAAAGATAACAACAGTCCTAAACAGTATCTGAATTAAACAGTGAAACAAGAACCAAAGAAAATGTTGGGTGAAGTTAGCAGGACTGGGACAGTGGGTAGGAAGGTGTAAGCAGGGATGATGGGGCTGAGTTGTCATGTTTAGAAGCCTCGTAGTATGTAACTTACACCTCACTGCAACCCTAATGAAGATACAGGTGAGTCCCATGGTTCAAGGTCATCTCAGGAAATTACAGTTAGCTTAGCAGTAGCCTTTAATGAGAAATCCTGCATGTGGACCTGAAAAGACAGATATTTGTGCACTTTAATTCATGCAGCTGTTTCAGTTAACTTAGATCTATGGCTAAATGCCTCCTTAATTGGGTGTGGGAGCTAATGCTCCATGCTTGGAGGATGATGGGCATTGAAGGAAAAGCGCATTTAATACATTGAGAGCTGTGAAGCTGGGTTCTGGGAATAATTCTTCCCGTGACTGTACACAGGGATTCAGTTTGCTCTCCTATCTTTGAGCAAGAGAAAAGGAAGTCATGGCTGTCCAGAACAATCAAAAGTGGGAGTTTAGGGATGCAAGTTCCAGGAACCATTCCTTGCCTGGGAACAGGGGATGATTTTGGGATTGGCTGCTATGCTGCTTTCACACTGATTTTTGATTATGAAATGTGTATGGGTTCACACTTGCTATGCAGCAGTAGTTGACCTTTCCTAGGACAAGCCAATTAGTCTGCAAGAGTGAATAAAGAGATATTATCACCTTTAAAATCTGCTGCTGCTGCCACTGCTTTTCCAAAATACTCTCCTGTGGGCATTAAAGTGATGTTTTCATTTATCCACCAATAAAAACTCAGCCTTAACCCATCTGCCTGTCCCTCTGTGTATATATCTGGGTAATTTAATAAATGCTTCTGGGTGTTGATTTACGTCATTGTATCTGTATATAAGCCTGCCTCTGTGAGCATGCTGCTGGTTGGCTCTGAGCATTCATTGTCTGCCTTGTGTGTGTATGTCTGTGTGTCTGAATGTGGTTTTGTTTAAAATTTTTCCCTAGAAAAAACAAGAAGTCAGATGTTTCATGAGGTTTTTAGTTAAAATCAAGGGAAGGAAGGAGGAGACAGTAAGGGATAATTTAGAGAGAAACAGAGGTAGATTTGGCTACAGTTAATCATCTGCCTCAATCTTCTCCAGAGGAGATGGGGGAGTTCATTCCAGACATTAAAATTCCTCAAGGGAGGATCATATAGATCATGCTGGAAGAGAAATTGAAAGACTAAATTATCCAAAGGCTCAGAAAGCAATGGAGCCAGACGTCATCTGATCCCAAAGCAAGGATAAAAGCAGGGAGAACCTTCACAAGATATGCCCAGGGCTCCCTGAGAAACTGTGGGTAGAGATAGGGAAAATGATTTCTAACTGCTCTGAGTGAGGCAGATTTCTAAGATAGCAGATTAAGTATCTGGTGACTTCGTACTCTGGTTCCAGCTGTAATTCCGGCTCACAGGGAAAAGTATTATTCTGAGGCAGAATGCAGAACAAAAGAACATTAAAACGGAAGTAAATGCAACATTTCCAAACATGCCAGCATCCCCTGAAAAATAAGTCTGAATAATGGCCCAGGAACACTTTCATAACACAAGTCTCCTCAAACCAGCAGCACAAGGGGTCGGATGGATTTTCCAGCTCCTGTGCCCAGATCACTTTGCACACACAGCTTGTTTTCCTGCACTTAATCACGGGCCTGACTCACCACCCCTTCTCTGCACTATTCACTATTCTCCCAGTTCAACTGCAGTGTAAACAACTGAACCAGCAGCACTCATCAGGGGAAACACAGGGAAGCAGCAGTGGCCCTGTCCACGTACAGTGACATTCTCTGTTTCAAACAAGAGGAAGGTAATTCCTGTTTTGGAAGCTGTTACACACCCCAAGACCACAGATACCATCATGATATACCAGAATCAGAAGTCTTTAGCATTGGTAGCCAGGTATTCTGAGGAATGTGGTCACCTTGGAGTAACCTTTGTCAGGCAGACACTGTGAACACAACATTTTTGTACATGAAAATACTGGGTTTGTTACCTACATCCTCCATGACATCTGGCTGTGATTCAGTCCAGTTCCTGAGAAATACCTGGGAAGATTTCTATATATCTTTTGTTTGCAGAGGGATTCCCACACAGCACAACTCTTCCCTACAGTGCTGTTAAACACAAGTAAGATCAGCTCCAATTGTTGCATACATTTCCTAGAAGAGGTAAAACAAACTGAGGAAATTAGAACTTACATTCCTATGTATGATCCTTCAAATGAAAACTACAAAATGAAAACATTATTTGCAACAAAATAATATCTTTCTTACAGAGAAAAGCATGACTCAGACCTTGAGACGCTTGGACACTTGCAAAATAAATTCCTACTAAATTCATAATAGGAATTCCTAATAAATTCATAGGCCTTTGACAACCTTGTTCATACTTGCTCTTTTCAGGAAGTTTTCCCCATACTTCCAGACATCTTTCTTCTTTATCTTCCATAAAGTAATTTCTTTCCATAGCACACTACAGCAGCCCCTACATTTTTTCTCCAGCCCCTAAGTTTTTCTCCATCCTGTCTGGGGTGCAGGTGGTGACCCTTCTGCAGGGTCCAACTGTGCCCACAGCCCCAGCCCATCAAACCCAGGCCATTCCAGCACTGTGCTCCGTGCATGACCAGGGGATGTGTCAGCCAGGGCTATTGTTTGGAACAGGAAGCAAGTTTGGCCGCCTCTGTAATTTAGATTGTAGGCAATAAGCAGGGGTGTGGTGTGCAAAGCAAACAAGGCAGGATTAACAGCTCTTTTCACTTCTGGACAAGGAATTGGTGGCCCACAGGATCCTGTCCCATATTGGCTACGGCTTCTCCTCGTGACCACAACCAGGAGTGAAAAACCAGAGTATCCTCCAGGCTTTCAACTGGAGAGCAAAGATAAAAGCCCAGGCCCCATGTTCTGACAGAACTTTATGAGCTAAACATCTTGAAATGAGATTATGAGAGAAAATTAAGAACAGTCTTCTCCTTTCAATAGGTCTTTAAAAACAATAACCAGGCTTTACTGTAAATTCATTTATTTTCCCTCAGTGTGCCAATTCCCAAGCTGATAGCTCCTCTGTGTACCAGGGATATATATAGATCTAAATGTGGCAAGAAGACAGAAAGATTTTATTTATTTTGTGTAAGGGCAGCAATGTGGGGTGTTCTTTTTTCCAGGAAAAACTCACATCAGAGAATGAGTTACACATCTTGTTAAAGAAATACTATGAGGTAAATAAAATCCAGATTATATTTAGCTCATAGAAGGCGACAAATACTAGTCAGGTTGACTATTGCCTTGCTGGAAGTCAGTCAAAAACCACTGTCAAATAAAGCACAGAAATAGAGAAAATAGAAGAGTCTATATTCTTGCATTTGCTAAAGTGAGCAACGTTTTGCTGTTTATTGCCAGCACGTTTTTTAAATTAGTTTTAAATACAAGGAAAGTACTTAAAGTCAAATCCTGGCCTGCATTCTGCTGGAATCATTTAAAGGGCCTGGCTTGGATCTCCAGAACAGTCTGAAAACCCCTCACTCAATGCAAAGGATTATCCATGGCAAACTCAAAATTTGTGTCCATTGTCCTGCCAGGTCACTGCTGCTGTGGCACCACACACATCCTTCTGTGCCTCAGCAGGGACAAGTGTCCACATCATTCCCCACCACAGCAGCTGTGCATGGGGCAGGTTGCATGAGGCAGGGGCAAACAGAGGGAACTCAGGGTTTCCTTGCAAAAACCCAAGCCTGTGATAAAACAAGCCTAGACATCACTGTGGCAGTGTGTATTAGCTCAGAGTAAACTCAGCAAGCAAGAGGCAGCCATAAGCATTCAGATC